ATTTATATTTTTAGAAAATTTAATTTGTATCTACAAATAAAACAAAATATTAACCATATTTTTGTAGTTTTCCAAAAAATCTAGATAATATCCCTGTAATATAACATGTACTTAAATACTTAATCATTTTAGAATAGAAGGGAACACATAAATTACTTTCTTTTCTTGACACGATTCTTTACGAATACTTTATAGCAGAGAACATCTCTGCTATAAAATATTATAAATTAAAAATAATGGTAGCATGGCCCTGATATTAAAATCCATAACCATAATGTAAATGAATCATAAAATACTATATCAAGCACTATACCCATAGTTTCAAATAAGCAGGAAAATAGAAGTGTTTCGAATAAAATCAAAAAACATGCGTGACTGTCGTGCGAAAGAGATGAATATTATTCCATCTCACTTCCTTATAGCCGTCAAGGCCGTCTACACTACGACAGAAGGGATCGCGATGGAAATATCTTACATGTTTTCTCGCCTGGCCCCTATTCGCCAAAGTCTTACCGTCTGATAAGGAACTTCGTTCCAAAATTATGTTTTAATGCAAATTCAAAGCCAAATTAAAAATGTTTTGTATTTCGTATCATATTTCGTAGCGTACTAATAGTTGGGATAGTGACTGTAAACGCGACTACCGGTCATGTCGTTCCCAGTTTTATGGTCGGGATAAAACATTAGTTATTAAGTTTTTCTGTAAAGAAATTATTAGTAGCAGCCTGAAGTCATGTCATGTAACAATCACATGGTACTATAAGAGTAGGGGAATAAAGAGTGCACCCTTGTTTGCACATACACACACACACACTCAGGAACTTTAATTCTGTCCTGCGCAGATAGCTAGTCTCCGTTGAGGCTGGTCACTGTTGACCGAAATTCGAATGTGAGAACCATGTGAATAATTAATATTATCTGTGTACTCGTGAACCGGGAAAAGTTTTATCCAGTAACAAGCCAATACTTCCTAGACATCGTTCTGCATTTTATTCTTAATCAAAAAAATTATAGATTTATAAATAAATTATATAAATGAATCTAATTTACAACCTCCTTTTTGAAGTTGGTTAGAAAAACGACCAGAATTAGCCGTTGTATTGTGCCGATACTCAGTACTTTTAATAATCGTGTCCGGGAATAACAAAAGGCGTAGGCAACCTATTTGCACTTTCGCACTCCAACTAACCACTCCGCCACGCGCCAGTCCTCCGCATTATACTGTGACATTATTGAACGCGCGTTATTGTGCGCGACAATACGTTCACGTTTTGTTTGTGTAATTTTATTGTAATTATTAATTACACAAATATAAATTACACAAAATATAAATTACTCTTTCAAATCAATGTCGCAGATACGGGTGTTATGTTTGGTTGTGTGGTGTTGTGTAATTTGTGAATCAACACACGACAACCAAATGTATCATCACAAATTTTGTACGTGGAATAGAATTGAATGGAATAGAATCATTTATATTCAATATAGATTACAATAATACTCATTGAAAGTCATTTAAGTTTTACCACTGGTTCGGAAAAGCCTCTACCCTGGGAAGAACCAGTAAGAAACCCAGCGAGACTTTTTTTTTTAAATAAAGTTAATTTACAATGTATTATATTAATTTACTATACAAACGAACATTAAGAAACAGCATGGTAGCGATGGATTCTACACTCACTATACTAAACTTTTATGTGGTAGAGCCATACTAGAGCTATATTACTGGTATTATTGTAGCATGAATGGATCGGCTCGACCAGAGAAGGACCACGTTCTCACAGATAGCAGCGTAAAATAGCAGTTTAACGCCACTGTGTTGCGTATGGTGACTATGGAGAATACCCTTTTTACTTGAAACGAGGCATTCCATCTTAGTCCTCACGGGTGACAACCCGTCTACATTTTAATACGTAATCGAGGATAGATGTAGATGTCTATGGGCCACAGCAACTACTTATCATGAGGTGGACTGTGAAAAAACACAGCAGCATTAAACTGCAATTTCATGATGGTATTCTGTGAGAGCGTGGTCCTACCCTGATTGAGCCGACCCATCTGTGCTACAACCATAATATAGCAGCGTGCTCGTGCTTGATTGGTACTACTATAATTTAAACTTTAAATTTCAGTCGCACACACTCGACCCCTGATGACTCACCGCGTAGTTAATATTCCGCTGACGTGTGACCTCCTGTCGGTGCGTGCCCATGTCCAGAGATCGCGCACGTCTCGTGTTTGCGGATGCTGTTTGCTCTGCTGAGAGCTGCGACTGTCGAGCGATGCTTTTTCCCTTTTGCTCTCAAGTGCTACATGTTTTAAACATTTAGTTCTCTCTAGGCTTACGGCAGGTTACAATATCTATACATATAAATAAAATTGAAATGTCTGTCTGCAATATTGAAATTGAGGGTTATTTACACGCTATTAAGAAATAAATTACCATTTTTATAATTTTAGTCTGTCTGTGTGTCGGACTAGTCTTGTGAATGGCTGAACAGATACTGATGAACTTTACGGACAGATAGAGAGCAACGCCAGGAGGGATCTAGGCTGTATTTTAAACGAAAAACTTTGACAGATCTGAAATATAAACAACGCCACTTTATAAGATCCTATCCAGGCGAAGCCGGGCGGGTCGCTAGTGTATGGTAAATTAATGTGTTTCAGCCAACTATTTCTACAAATGACAATTATAGTTTCCGGCTTTTTTTATAGAAGCAATTCCAAGTGGAGCACACAGTCCACATAGTGCTGAGTGACTGCTGTGGCCAATAGCTGTCTACGTTTATCTTCCATTAACAATCAAAATAGACATATATGCGTAGTTCCTTGTTACACCTGAGGACCAAGTAGTTTAAGGCGGATTCGAACCCATGACTTATATCTTTTTACTTTTATACATATTAGGATATGTCCATAACTTTATTTCTTTATCTATAAAGCTATAGGAATATTATGCTGTGCATCAGTGGCGCAGCGTGCCTTAGATGGACCCTGTATCAAAATTTGTTGTGGGCCCAAATGAAGGGTACAGATTTCTCACAAAAGGTACAAAAACAGGAGTACTTACCCTTAACCGACGAGCGTGTATGCGTAGATATATATGGATGTAAAGAAGGCGAGAGGTGTGTCAGGATCGCGCCAAATGGAAGTCCGTAGTCTCTGCTTACCCTCCTGGGTGACAGGCGTGAGTGTTTGTGTTGTTTTGTGTTGTACAAAAACACTCGCTTTGAATTAAAGTAATTATATATTGATTATAAGTTATTACTTACAATCAATACTCCTAGGGTAAAAACTGGTAGTGATCACCGAATGGTTAGAGGTACACTGAACCTAAACCTTAACTTGAAGAGGTCACGTCTAATGAAGTCAACCCTCCGTCCCCCTCGAGCTCTGATCCAAAGTTCTGAAACCTTTCAGCTCGAACTACAAAACCGTTCAGTGCCTAGAAGATTGCAATACTTGCCAAGCTTTTTAATTGTGTTCTCCATGGTGGCTCTACTGCGGAGCCTTGGAGCAGAAGTGAAGAGATTTTATTAGGTTTATTAGGCAAGAACAAGATTTTATTAGGACGGCCACTTACAGTCTGAATTCCGTTACGAAGAAATTATTTACAAAATTCAGGCTCGTAATTTGGCTCTTTTTACATAATATTGACCATCTTGCAATCTTAGGATATTAAGAAGATAGCCAGTAACGACGATACAGCAACAATATAATCTCAATCACAAAATCGTCATCCATGTTCGCTGGCTTAATGCCTGGACAATACCTAGAGTCTCTCAACTAAGCCTTGTTAGGCCGGCCAAATACAGTCGGAATTCCGTTTCGAAAAACCTTTTCGATTTTCGAAATGCTGAACCAAATATTTACGAAATCTCGAATTGATATTTCGGAACGGCTTTTCGAAACGAAATTCCGAATGTATGTGGCCGGCGTTTAACGGGGGAATCCCGCAATTACTGATGTACACTGACGAGCGTCTCGTCTGGTCGCGGATTTAGTAATCTGTGGTCGGGTGTCAATCGTGACGTGAGACGTTCTGTGTTGGGAACTTTTAGGCGCCCGCTTAACCCGGGCAAAAAAAGAAATTCCTTTTTTTTTCTTCGTAATTTTTGAAGTGAAAACTTCTTTTAGGCAAGTTGGGCACTTTTTTATGATATGTTTTTTTTCTCGGGAAGTATGACTTAGGAGTTAAAGTGAGATTATGGATAACTTTTTTCGAATTTTAGCTTACACACATTCGGGGCCCCTGTAGCCCGGGAGTCCCGTATCATTGACACGGCTGATACACTACTTATATTATAATCTAACGGTTTTCTTAGTCTCTCGTAATGCATACAGCGAAGAAGTAGAATAATTTGCCAGCGTCTGTCTTTCCATCTGAATAATATCTGGGCGTTTTCAATGCATGAGTGAACAGGCCTTTGTGAGCTAAGACAGCGACTTACCATCTAGGCATTCATCACCACTTACTACCAGGTGGGATTATGGTTATGCACTGGCTTATAATAGATAAAATAAAAATGTCATGCTGCCATTTTATGCTGTTGTTCTTGTGCGAGCATATGTCTTCCTCGGTTGGGCCGACTCAATCGTGCTATACTCGTAATACAGCTGTAGTGTGGCTCTACCACGTCCATTTCTCTTTTAAATCATGCAAGCCTAACTTATTCTTGGAAAGGTTTACAGCCACTAATGGACTTAAAGTTGAATATGAACTTGATACCACAACTCAGCTACGGGTTGCCCTATCATTTAACTGGGTTTGCTGTTATTTAGAGAACCATTAATCGTCTACTGCTGAGCAACAGATATATTTATTATTTTCAACTGTTATCAGGAAGATGCTGCATCTCCTGTTTTAGTTTCCCTTTGTCGCCTTTTACGACACTCAGGAGACGATATGGGGTAGTGGATATTCTTACACCGCCACTACACGATACACAAATGCGCACTATCCATGTTTAATTATTGATAATTTCTTTTGTCAACAGTTCAAAAGCGGGCGCGCATCGCCGAAGTATGCTCCAGCCCCTCGACGCCAACGGAAACCTCCCAAGACCCAAAGACACCAAACCCCACGCCCCCACTGACCACACCGCCATCGCGTTCGCCCTCCGACCATGAGCTAAACGTTGAAGAGGAACTTGAGGAACAATCGGAAACCTCGCTCACGCCAGAAAACTTGTCGATGAAAGAGAGAAACGACGATATGTCCGTGAAAAAAGAGGACGACGACAAATGGGAGAGTCCAGACTTCAAATACAAGTATAGGCAAAGGAAAGCCGACAGCGTCCCCGAGGCGGTGTCCGAAGATCCCGCACCCTTTCAAAAATCCCCGGTTGATGTTCTCATCAAAGTGTTCCCCAGACGCAGTAGACAGGAGATAGAGGCGATCCTCGCGCGATGCAAGGGAGATGTGGTCGCCGCGATGGAAATGATGGTGAACGGTGCTGACAACTCATATATGACTCCAGAGACTCCATACCTCCAGAACTATCAGTCCAAATCCGCCTTCTCCCCCCTCTCGAACCAAAACTTCAAGTTTTCCCCCTCGAGGCGGTTTTTGACGCCGCCGTACAGCGGGACAGGTTACTTGCCGACAGTGATTCGTCCACCGCCGGAGTACTTGTCCTCGTTCCTGCCACCCTCGGAGATGATGTACGGTAGACAGCTGCAGGTTCCGTCCCCTGGGACCTCGCCTACATCCGACAATACCAACAATGAAGGCTTCTCTGATTAGGGTTTGCTTCATCACTAGACAGTGTTATAAAATGTATGAGAACTGAATAAATACTACAAACTTTTCGGATGTAGCTCAGACGCGCTTTCCTGCATGGTCTCTGGTCTCGTGAAATAATACAGTATTTTACTGACGTAGGCGGTAAAAAAAAATTAAGTCATTATCAACAGGGCACATTTTAAATAGTTAACTACAAGTTTCTTTTAATAAATTGATTAAAACCAGTTCTGTTTTGAACTTCTGCAATATATTATTTTTTAAATTTTGTACGCAAATACTAAATTAAAGTATTTTTTTTGAATACTACCATTGAAGGTAGACACATCAGAGATTTCTATGTATAAGGCCCGCCACATACGTACGGAATTCCGTTTCGATATTCCGATTCGGAAATCCGAACGCAGCAAGTCCATATAAAATCTATGACCTACGTACGGTAGTTTTAAGTTAGAAATTTTACGGGCAAAATAAGATACCGTATGTGTGTGGCCGACACGTTCGGAATTCCGAAACGGAATCCCAAAACTAAATTCCGTATGTATGTGGCCGGCCTAAGTTACGGTCAAATCCCTGAAACTCCTTTAGTCGACTGCGAGCGGGCGAGAAGAATAGTTCTATGTTTTGTAAACCGTGAAAGTTGTTTTCGACAATCTAACACTGATTTTGTTCAATGTGACTAAGAAAACACTTTTAATATTTATGCGCGCACTTTGTCAACGTGATTTGAAGTTTATGACAGTTAAGTATGTAAATTTATTTCGTATTTGCCTAAAACAGTAACTGTCGTAAATGAAAATGCAACTGCGTGGCATATTAAGGTCCGCCATATACATACGGAATTCCGTTTCGGGATTCCGTTTTGGAATTCGAATCGGAATATCGAAATGGAATCCTGAAACGGAATTCCGTATGTATATGGTGGAACTTATCGTGCCCGCTGTCCGCCCCACTCCCCGATAGCTGAGTAACAGTTTTTTAACCGACTTCAAAAAGGAAGAAGTACACAGTTCGTCTGTATTTTTTTTGTGTGTTACCTCATAACTTTTTTCTAGGTGAACCGATTTTGATGATTCTTTTTTTATTAGAAAGCTGGTGCTTCTCAGGTGGTCCCTTATAAGTTTGATTAAGGTCTGACCAGTAGTTTTTGATTATCCTTAATAATTTATATTGAAGACGTACAGTACCCGATGTCTTTGGTCTTGCAATGTTAAGACAACTATATTATATATAAAACACAGTTTCAGAAATCTAATAGTCATTTAGGCTTCCATCGCATTCCACGTTATTTATTTAAAAAATTAAATGTAACACCTTAAAGTAAAGGGTACACAGGGCGGACTTTATACCACGTGGCATTCTCTGCCAATCAACCCTGGCTGCCAAAGACAATAGTGGCAGGTGCCAAACATTAGTGTATAATTTAACTTATACATAATTATAATTGAATAAAATAAAATATTGAAATGTCATTCTCAGTAAACGTTAAGGCTCCTTCTCTTAATATAATGATGTAAAAACGATACAGATGTGTACTTACATGTGTACATGTATCCTAGTGATATTAAGATATAAATAAACATAAGATCAAATGTAAATAGCTATCGTATTTCCTTAACCGATGCTTTGTAAGTAATGCTTATATAATAGAATTGTATTCCGTACTTAATATTGCATATACGTAAGTTTCGTTAAGAAGACCTAGAAATCCAAATGACTTTGTTTTATGATGAAAATGTTTGGATAGGTTATTAATTCTCGTTTTATGAATTATTTTTGAAGAATTTTAAGAATGTACCTTTTTAGTTTAGAAGAGTATAAAAATATTTTTAAATGTATTATTTGTAGATTAAATCACTTTTTTATTGATTTGTGATTGGTTAATTAATTTCAAATAATTACTATAACGAAAAGTGCTAACAGAAATCAACTATTTTCAAATTATAATAGCTAAACATAGACTTAAGTCTACATAAAGACTTTTGAGTGTTTGTATGAAATATTCGACGTGTATCCTAGTGTGGGTGGATGCAACGCTAAGATTTAGTGTTCAATAGCTATTAGTGAATAACTAATAAGTAATTATTAAATATAGTCAGTAGTGACCTTTGTAAATATTAAAGCCATGTTTAATCGCACGGATTGGAGACGATTTATTGTAAATGTACACACTAAGTATGGACACACTGCATGTGCTCAATAAATATAAATATTGAAGAATGAACAGTTTTTAATTTGATTTCAAGTCATCGAGTCAGCTGTCCTAAATTAAAACCTATAAATAGAGCTTTTTAAAAAGAAAAATCGGCATTTCTAAACTTTGCCTACACAACAGTTCTTCACAAAATCACGACAACAGTTGTATTAAATTTTTATAAGTAATCAGACATTTTGAATCTCGAATCCTAGTAAGTGGGCTATTAGATTATATTATAGACGTATGAGTGACAAACTAGTACCTATACAGTCTAGCCTACTCAATGGTAAGTGGATACCGTGGCACATAGACACTTCTTCTCAATGTAGCATCATAAAGGAAACTAAGGACGAGGATGGAATGTCTCGGTACTAGTAAAACGGGTCCTTGGTACGTTACACTCACCATACAAATTACAGCAGCACTAAACAGCTATTTATGTGTTACTTTTTTATAGGATAAGTGTGACAAGCGACAACACAGTCCACCTGATGGTAAGTGGTTGCTGAGGCCCATAGACATCTACATTTATCCTCGTTTGCGAATCAAAATGCAGATGCGTTGTCAGTCGTGAGGACTAAGGTGGAATGGCCCTTTTCCAGTAAAACGGGTCACCGGTTCTACACATTCACCATACGAAACACAGAAGCAATTAAGCTGCTATTTTACACTGGTATTCTGTGAGAGCGTGGTTCTTCCCCGATCAAGCCAAACCAGTCGTGTTACAACCATAATATAGCTGCAGCATGGTTCTAACATGTATAAAACTTTGTTTTAACTTCAATATTGAGGAAACCTTTGAGGAGGAAAGAAGCTACTTAATCCCACCTACACCTGAATTTATATTATAGAGAAGATTCCAGGTAACTATACGTTATCTGTAAGACTAAGATGGAATGCATCAAACTGTAATTTTACTGACGCCTCATGATCTTCAGCTCGAAACTTAACAGTAAACAATGTTGTTGGTGGCATGAATAGGTCAGGAACTCTAGCACTTAGGATAATACCGGAATAGTTAAGCTACAGCATGTATACAGGCTGTCCCGAAACTGTACGTCTAGCGGGTACTGGGCGATAAGCTAGGTTGTATCTTATGTTATACCTAATTAATGTTAGTTGTACCTAATTAATGTGTGAAGATCTCTCCCAATACCAATTTAAAGTGAATATGTGGACCGGAATTTTAAACGGACAAATAATCGTACCATTGGAGCTGCCTGAAAACTTAAACGGCGACAACTACCTTAATTTTTTACAAAATCATTTGCTGAATTTATTAGAAGACGTAGCACTCAACATCTATCAGGTTAGATATGTGGTTTCAAAAAGATGGTTGCCCAGCGCATTATTCTCGTGCAGTACGGGATCATCTATACACAGAATATCCCGGTAGATAGATTGGACACCTTGGCACTATTTTATGGCCTCCTCGTTCTCCGGACCTACATCCACTTGACTTCTTTTACTGGGGCTACATAAAAGAAAAAGTGTACTCGAAACCAATACAAAATGTAGCCGAACTACTAGGTCTTATATTCTATATTTTACTACTTTCGATGTTTTACGTCTGCCAGGCGTCCCGCGACGGCGCACTATTTTTTTTAAATAATTATTTATACTTTTTAAAATTAATATAATTCAATTTATGTTAATTTCATATACAACCAAGGGAAAAAAATCTATACCTAAGCTTTTAGCACCTATTTTGAAATCTACATTGTTTGAATGGAGATATTCAACTGCAATTCAGCTACAACAGTATTCTTTATTTCGAATGTTCTACTTCTGTTGACGTGACCTCTTAATATCACTCCAATCGGTGTCAGACGTCGAGTCAAGCGATCCGGAAAGAGGCGGTGTCAACTCGACGTCACAGCACGCGGCAGCCGTACCGCTCTAACTGTCGTCCGAGTGTCGGCACTGGCGCACGATTGTCGCCCGAGTGTCAAACGAGTGTCGTGTCAGTATGATGTTTCACTGAGAGACTTCCGAATATTTTTTTTTTTTTTTTTTTTTTTTTTTTTTTTTTTTTTTTTTTTTTATAAGATAAGGGTGACAAACGAGCACACAGTCCACCTGATGGTAAGTGGTTGCTGCGGCCCATAGACATCTACATCTATCCTCGCTTGCGAATCAAAATGCAGATGCGTTGTCACCCGTGAGGACTAAGATGGAATGCCTCATTTCCAGTAAAAAGGGCCTCCGGCCACCTGCACTCACCAAGCGAAACGCAGAGGTAAATCTCTACTTCACGCTGGTATTCTGTGAGGTCGTGGTACCACTCCGGATCGAGCCGGCCCATCCGTGCAACAGCGAAAGCTGCGCGTGGCTCTACCACTGTTAAAATAATGCTAATATATTTATGAATATGCTCAAAAGCTATCATCATTTTTAATGCATTCGTTATTAGTTATTGTAGACACTAGTGTTTACGTGGTAGAGCCATGCTGCAGCTATATTAGTAGTATAGTTGTAGCACAAATGGCTCGGCCCGACCGGCGTAGGACCACGCTCACACAGAATACCAGCGTAAAATATCTGCTTAATGCTGTTGTGTCTCATATGGCGAGTGTAGAGAACATGAGACCCTTTTTACTGAAAACTAGACATTTCATCTCAGTCTGCATTTGCATTTTATAAATTCCTATTGCAATGAACTTTCCTATGCATTTGATATTAACTCCGACTCACCCAACAAGCTCAGAAAAGAACTACTCAAACTTAACACAAATGTAATAGATTAAATTTTTGTATTTTTTTAACGTTTTAGTTTGCTGTGTGTGTATTATTCTTGATGTTTATT